TATATTTTACATTACATACGTAATGTTTATTGTATATAGTTTTTCTTATGTTAGTTATAACCTTTAAAAAATAATTTAGACAAAAAATAGAAACATGTGGTGATATCTTGCTTGTACAAATAATAAAACCTGTCTGAAGGCCAGAGAATGGAGCTTGCCACTAGCCAAGCATAATCAAACTATTACATAATGTCAGTGATCGTTGGCATACTGTAAATCCCACAGAGGCAGAAGCCAGGGCTGTTTTGTTCACCCCTGTATCATGAGTTCTTCACATAGATTCATATGCAATAGGCACCCAGAACTTCCATTCAGTGAACACTCAGTAAATGTCATGTCTACTCTATGTACTGATTTTGTGCTGGGGTGTGTGTGTGTGTACACATGTGTGATCACCTGCATGTCTATGTGAGGGCCAGAGGTTGATCTTGCCTGTCTTCTCCAGTCATTCTCCACCTTAGTTTTTGAGACAGGTTCTGTCATTGAGCCTGGAGTTCTCCAATTTGGCTGGGCTGACTGGCCAGCGAAACCCCTCACTAGAGTTGAGAATATAGGCCCATGTCTGGGGGTCTGAACCCAGGTCCTCATGCTCCTATGAGATGTATTTTACCAATGCAGTGGAGCCATCCCCAGATTCCTTATCTTTATTTCTTCACGGAGAATTCCAAAAGGACTCATCCAAGACTACATATCCAAAATAAGGAGAGGCATTTAAATTCATCGGGCAAGGCTTCCTCAACCCTGCCTGTGGGGCTGTGGCATTCTGAGTTTTACTTGTCCCAAGGTGGAAGCTTGTCTGTGGTTTCTCAGAGCGCTTTCTCTCCCAGATCCACACCTGCCAGTCCCCACTCAAAATCTCAAGCCTCCCTTCGCTCTCAGACTTATCCTCAAACATCAGTCACATGGGTCCAAGAGCCCAGCCAGTGAGATTTCCCATGAGGAAACCAAATATTTATAAAGGATCAAAGATTTAGGCTTATAAGCCCAAATCCTATTCCTGGAATATTAGCCATGAGCTAACCCAGAAAGGAGAAATCACACCGGAGGCTGACAAGACTTTCTTTTCTTTAAAAATAAAATAGAGCTGGGTATATTGGTGTACACCTTTAATCCCAGTACTTGAGAGGCAGAGAAAGGTGGATCTCTGAGTTCAAGGCCAGCCTGGTCTACAGAGTGAGTCCCAGGGCAACCAGAGCTACATAGTGAGACACTGCCTCCAAATACAAAACAAAAACCAGTTTGTGCGCATGGTGGGGGTAGGGCTGTGTGCATCTTGAACTTGTTCTTAGAAACCAAGAACAGGGCTTCTTTCTTTTATCAGGTGAGTCTCAGGGGTCAAACTCAGGCTGTCAGGTTTGGTGGCACTCACCTTCACACTCTGAGCAATCTCACCGACCCTCTAGGTTCTTTGGGGGTCACCTCAACTGTGCTTTTCACCAGGAGCCCCCAGGTGACCTGGATCTGGTGACCTAGCACAGGTCCAAGACAAGAGGAGTCTGTCTTAGCAGCTCTGCCCACATGTGCCACATGGCACTTTCCAAGCCTGTTTCCTTCTCTCCAAGATGAGGTGGTATTTCAGGTCCCTTTGCTTGGTGTGTTCTGCACTGACAGGTGAAGCTGTGTGGACCTTAGAGTATAAACTCAGGCTTGCAGAGCATGTGCTGCGTCTGAAGTGACTGCAGAGCGCATATAATCTCTAGACACAGACGTGCTCAGGGAGGGCTCTGCGGGGCAGCAAATACTCAGTGACTCTCACGTGGTTGCCAGCGATGTGGCCCTATCAAGCTCCATCTAGGATGGGCCCCAGGATGGTTCTCATGTGGCCTGTGGTCCAGGCTCACTGATAGCTGGCAGCTCCATGGACTTTCTTATGGTGTCTCCAGTATGGAGTCTTCACTTAGCTAGGCATCTTGGGCAGAGGCCGGCTTCTCCCAGGGTGTGGGGCCATGAGGAAGCAGGAGGACTCTTTTGACCAACCTTCAGAAGCTCTATATGCTGCACTCCCCCCCCCATTGTTCTACTGATTGCAACATAATCACCTGGATATAAGGGGTGGGGCTTGGACAAACACTGTTTCTAAGAGTGGCACAGGGGTCCTGCTGATCAGCAGCGAGGATGGAATTAGACTGTCCAAAGGTTATCTTGGCTCTGCATGCTTCATTTTCACGCACAGCCTGCTTTCGACATTTAGGCTTAGATATTCCTCTTGGGTCGCTGAGATTTCTTCCCTGGTTCCAGGCCAAGCTCTGTGACCTCCCACAGCTCCCTCACACATGCTTCCTTGAATTATCTTGCCCTGGTGTTAGGAGGCTAACAGTACAGTGGTAAAGACAGCCTTTGGAGATGGCTGCCCTAGGCTCCAATCTCAATCCTTTCCTGTGACCTTGAGGACATCAGGTCCCTTCTATAAGTCTCAGTTCTTTGTAAAAATGGGGGATAAAATGCTAGAACACCCCATTCATGTTAGCATGGGGGTTCATTCATCCAACCTACAATGAGTTAAATGAATACCCCCTTACCCCCCCTCCCTTTTTTTTTTTTTTTTTTTTTTGGTCAGGTAGCCTACTAGGCTCTGGGGTGGGTAGATAGAATGAATAAACAAGAAAAAGATCTATCATCCACAGACATTCGATGGAGATGGCTACTAGAGCTACACAGGAACCAAGGGAGGTCATCCCAGGAAGGGGGTCACGAGGGGAGCCTTTACTGCAGAAGTGGTATTGGAGTGGATACCCACGAGGTCAAGCCCTGTGGCTTTCCAGAGAGTGTTTCTGGCAGAAGGAAGAGAAATTCCACTGAGTCTGAAGCCAAGTGAGCCACAGAGATGTGTGGGAGATGAGGACAGAGAGGTGGCAGAGTATGCAAAGTTAGAGCCTTGTAGACTCTGGACTCCAACTCTGAATGAGATGACAACCATGAAGGTTTGTGGCAGGGAAGTATTCTAGGTATATTTTGGGTGTAGAGGAGCTGAGTCACTGATGGACATGGACACACACACACACATACACACACACACACACACACACGAGAGAGAGAGAGAGACACACACATACACAGAGAGAGAAAGAGAGAGAGAGACAGAGAGAGAGCTGAGATGCATGGTGTCTGAATACCTAGAAAGAATGAGGCTCCCATTTACCAAGGCAGGGTGGCTGCATGCAGAACACGCTAACATTTTTGCACCTGGTACTCAGCGAGGTGACAGAATGGAAAGGATGGCCCAGGGATCCCCACCTTGCACAATTCCCTTCTGTCTGATTGTGTGTGGAACTAGGAAAAGACATCACCACTGTGATCAAGACATAAGGCAATATAAAGGATAAAGGAGGGCCGTCCCTTAGGAGATAACCCAGTGGGGAGTTAGAGCAAAGGATGAGAAGGGCTTGCCATTCCTGTGGTGGTTTTGAAGATGGAGAGCCAGAGGGCTATTTGCAGATGTTGAGCTGCCAGCAGACATGGCCCTCGTCCTACAGCCACAAGGAACTGAGTCCGCTGGCACCCAGAATGATCATGGAATCTGATTCTTCTCCAGAGCCAGCACTAACAGCTTCACCTGGCTAATCATTTTCAAGATAGAGAACCCAGCTGAGCTGCCCAGACTTCCAATCTAGACAGATTGCACACTGATAAAGATCTGTTGCCTTTGGCTATTTGGTTGGCTATGAAGAAACAGAACAAATATACACATCCATCCAGAATGAAGGGATTCTGTTGCCATTGCACAGATGAGGAAATAGATAGGTAAGATGGGAAGGCTTGCTCTAGGCCTTTTGGAAAGGGACCAAGTTATCTTTCTGAAGCCACCTCAGATAGGTCAAGAAGAGCAGCTAGAAAGGGCAGACACTTTGGCTGGTAGAGTGAGCTTGTCACTCAGATCAGATAGGGAGGGCAGCAGGGTGTTGCTATTGAGCTTGTCTGTCTATACTCAGGCTCTGGGTGTCTGAGCTGTGTGTGTGTGTGTGTGTGTGTGTGTGTGTGTGTGTGTGTGTGTGTGTGTGTGTGTGATTCCAGGGACTATGGAGTCTTACCAGTGTAAGCCTGCAGCCATGTCTCAGCATCTTCAGTCTGAAGGTGTCTGCCTCAGGATGAATCCATCCCCGTGGGTGACTCAGTTGATATGGTTGTGTCTGTAGGTATGAATGTTCTGAGGGTAACTGTCCCAGTTTTTGACACACAGGTTATGGCAGGAGGGGGGCTAAGTGTCTGAGGTGGTCTGAGATTATGTTCTCTGTGTGTGAGAGCTTTCCAGGGTGTGTGCAGATTTTAAGACTGTGTGCATGATAAGTTGTGTGACTGTCTGAACTTGTGTGGGGTTTGTGGCATCTGAGGGTCTCAGCTGTGTGGGAGGACATGTCCTGCCTGTTGCTCCTTGTGACCCTACAGGGCTCTATGTACCTTCTGAAGTTGCCGGTTGATTTAACTGCTGTCTTGTCTCTAGGAGTCTCTGTGTGCCCCCCCTCAGTGTGAGGGAGCCCGAGATCTCTCTTCTCGTGTGAATACATCTTTGTGGGTCCTTGTGTGCCTAAGGGTCTCCATGCGAGCTGGAGTCCTAGGGGGATCTAGCAGGTTTTTCGGATTTCTTAGACTGTGTCCCTCTGAACACATCTGGGTCTCTGGGTGAGGCCTGCTTGAAACGGGGTGACTGGCCACCTGCCTCTGGAGCGAGTCTGAGGACAGCCACGGGCCAGAGCGGCCACTGGGGGTTCAACCGCAGCAGCCAGGCGCAGACAGCCTTGTGGCGGGCTCGTGCACCTGCCGGGTTGGCAGCGGCGGCTCAGCCCGCACCCTCGCGGCTCCCACGCCCCGCCCGCGGCGCCCCCTCCCCCGGGCCGCGGCGATTGGTTGCGGCGCTCGGCTCCGGCCCGCCCCGCGCGGCTGGCAGGCTGGGGGCGCCGCGGGCCAGAGCGCGCTGCGCCGCTGCCACCGCCGCCACCATCACCGCCACCGCCGCGAGCACCGCGCGTCTCCAGCTCCACGCGCCGCCAGCGTCCGGCCCTCTGCGCCCCGCCGCCAGCCCCGCCGCCAGCCCAGCCGCCCGCCCGCGGAGCCCCGGGCCGCCGCCACCACGCCGCGCGCCGTACTCCGCGTCAAGAATGGGGCGGCCAAGCTGCCCAAGCCGCCCGCCGCCGCCGCGGCCGAGGCTCCTGGCGCGGGTGCGGGTATGGAACGATCGCAGAGCCGTCTTAGCCTGTCCGCCTCCTTCGAGGCGCTCGCCATCTACTTCCCGTGCATGAACTCCTTCGACGATGAGGATGCAGGTGAGTGCGCCTCGGTCCACCCACCCCGGGAGGTTGTCCCGGGATACAGGTGCCAGGGACCCTCCGGGACCTGGGGCGCCCGGGAGAGGCGGCCACTTTCTCCACTGCACTCCCGGTCCCGCCCGGATACATACCCAGGAGCCCCTTTCACTCCCTCGGGACCTCAGGGGTCTAGGATAAGCTCTGGTCCTGCCCCTCCGCCCCAGGGATCCCTCTATAATCTGCACTCACCCTTCTGGCGCAGGTGGGCCCTTGGGTCGCCTGGACTCAACTCCCCCACGACCACCGTCTTGCCACCACCTAAGTCTGGTTTCTATGAGCTCTAGTCAGATCTTAGGGTTTAGGCCGCCTCACCCTTGGGCTTCCGATGGGTCTTCTAGCCCTTGGAGGCTGTGTGCAGACCTTACCTCTCAGAGGTCTTTGTCTTAGCTGCATCCGGAGGCTTCCTGGCCAAGACCCCTGTTTAGAGGCCAAAGTCTTGAGTGCCCCTGTTTGTCTCTTGTTCCCTTCCCCCACAGGCTGAGGCTCCAGACTCTAATCAGATTGGGGCAGTCTGTGTCTGATGGCCTTTCCTCTTTCCTCCCCAGGGAGGTGTGAGGCAATTTAAGTGGTAACAACACCAGCACACCCTCGGGTGTGTGTCCCTAACTCAGGTGTTCTTGTCCCTTCCCTGGAGTGGCCTTTCTGGATGGGCTGAACCCAGGTGCCATCCTGCAACTCAGCCTTCTGCTTCTGGGCCTAAAAAAAAAAAAAAAAAAAAAAAAAAAAAACCAACAAAAACAAAACAAAATCCCTAAAGGTAGCCACAGTCCAGGGGTGGGGGAAGAAACCAGCTTTCAGACCCTGGGACCAGGCAGAGGGTACAGAGAGCTGTGAGTCTGGATTGGGGTAAAGAAGGGAACCCAACAACAGGTGGGGTACCTAGAAGATTTGGGACAGAGGTCCCCCAAAGGGTGCCAGGCTCTATTCCTCTATTCCTTAAGCCGTGACCTTGGACAAGTCATGCCATCCAGAGTCTCAGTTTCCTCGTCTGTAAAATGCAGATGATGATGCCTCAGATACAAGGCTCCCATGTGGTGGGAGGGTGGAGTGAAATGGTTTTGAACTGATAATTTGAGAGTATTTGAAGTCAATGAGGGGCGGGGAAGAGGAGTATGTATGTATGTAGGAACGAGTGGGTTCAATACTGATTAAAATACAAATTATCTCTCAAAAGGAAATATATATATATATATATATATATATATATATATATATATGTAAAACCCCCAAAATTTCCTGCACAGTTTAAGGGATTCAAGAGCTCGGGTTTCAACTCCCTGCTGGCTGGAGCTTTCTGAGCAGGGGATGTTATGAGATGGAGAGGTGGGTACTGGTTAAGAGATGAGAAAAAGGGGTGTTCCCCAGAGTGATTGGCCATAGTTGAGGCCAACACCTGATAGAATTTTCTACTGACCTGGAGGCAGGAGTTAAGGGTGAAGATGGTTGTTACATGTCCAGTCTATGTACACGCCATCTCCTATGTCAAATAAGTGAGACCCAGGAGCTGAGCTGATCTCCTCATAGCTGAGGAGTGTTGTATTTTCTAGGCAAGACCAGGTGAGATGGAATTGGGGGGAGGTCACTAATGTAGTTGCAGCTAACTCAAAGAGAGCAGACATCAGGCTAGCTGTAGAGGAGGTGAGGGGGAGCCTTGGGGTGTCTGTAGAGGGAGAGCCGGCTTCCAGGCCGGAACTGATGTCAGCAGACCACTTGGTTGTGTCTCGAGAGTCAAGCTGGGCAGGAGCACACGTGTGTAGAAGCATCAGAGACAGGCATGGTTTGGTTTTTCTCCAGAGTCATGCTGCATGTTGTGGGTCAGGCACCTTGGCTCTTATTGCAGGACTCACTCTAGGTTTCATTTGAGTCAAAGATAGCTTCATTGAGAATATTAATGGCCATCTCTAAACACCCCTCTAATCACCCTCTTGGCTTCTAAGTGAGTTTCTTGTGTTTCATTTGTAAGAGACCCTCTTCATCCCTCTGAGGCTACATGGGGGTGGGGGTCTGTGTCTGTGAGAATGTGTGTGAATGACTGAAGCCCTGGTGTGTGGTGTGGTGTGGTGTGTGCATGTGTGTGTGTGTGCATGCGTGTGTAACCCAAGGTCATCTGGTGTCTCATGCACAAAGCTGAGAGCAGAACCAGGTTTCTGGCTCTCTCTAGAACACCAGTAGCCTCTCTTTCTGGAGGAAACCAGATCTCAGTGCAGAAAATGGTTCCCAGGTGAGGAGGCCTTGGGGAGTAGTTGGCAGCCCAGGGCTCTGTTTGGGCATCTCGGGCTCATTGATTGCTCATCCCTAAGGCTGTCTCAAGCTTGGGAGGGAGGAAGAGAAAGTCTACTTTCATATCTAGAAGAATAACGAGGGCTGGTAAGAGTTGGAAGTAAGAACCATTGTCCTGATGCTTAATTTCTCTTGATTGTCTCATCCATTCATTTTCTCCTAAAAGAAGAAAATTGGGTTTATTTCCTTTAAAACAGCACTGAGCTGAACTAATTTTTAAAGGCAGTTGGAATAGGTTCTGGGGTCCTGGACAGGGGATTGGCTTAGCCAGAGGAGGCCATCACAGACTTGGTTCCTCCTGACTTCCTCCCCTCTCCCACTGGCCCCTTTTACTGCCTGTCTGTCTTTGGTGGCTCCATTTTTGAAGCCTCCCCTTTGTTGCAGTTTCTAACCCATGTCACTACTTATTTCCCCATCCATTAGATTAGGCCAGAGCCATCTTCAAGTCTTTCCTGCTGTCTCCAGCTAGCTTCCTGAGTCATAGGCTGAGGAGGAGACTTCCTTTGGCTTTAAATGGGGCAGAGCACATCCCTGCATTGGACTTAGGAGTGTTGGGCAGTGGGTTAGGAAGGAGCTGCCTTCTCTTCCTGTGTCTCTCTAACACCCTTGAGCCCAAGAAAAGGATCGCTAAAAGTTGCTACGTTGCCCATCAAGAGGCATCTCCCCTCATATGTTCTGATGCATCTCTTACAATGCTGCTGCCTTGCCTTGTTCCCAAGGACGTTGGGGCTTTAGAGAGGCAGCACTCAGGGACACTTGTATATTTGTGCCCATGTCTTTGTTGTTCAGCCTTACTGGTCATGGGCTGGCAACTAGGGCGGGGAGGAGCCAGACATGTGACCCTGTTCTCCTCAGCTACGTGAGGAAGAAAATAATAGTACTCCTAGTAGACTTAGTTGTGTCAGTGTTTTAAAAATTATTACCATATGCTACATGACTTTCCAGGCATTTAAGGTGCATTATCTTAACCTTTCCTCATAACATCCCCTTAAAATTAATATCCTACCTAACATCCCCATTTTCAGATAAGAAAACTGAGGTCTAGGCAGAGGAATTCATTCAAGGTCATTTAGCCAGGAAGTGTGGGGTTAGGGCTTAAGTCTGGGAAAACTGATTTAAGCACACTTGCTTTTAGGATTGCTACTTACTATGCAATGGTACCTGGCATGAAGTGTGTCTCAAAACATGTTAGTTCTGGTCTGTCTCATTAGCAAGTGAGAGTTGTCTCTGAACATGGCCATAAAGACTCCTGTGTGCTTGGGCAAAGACAATCTCAAATCTCAAAATGTTAGCTGTCATCCTTTTAATGGACTGATTTTTATCATAGTTTGCAGACATAGAGCTGGGAACCACCTTCTTTGAAGTGCCTAAAAGGTGGGTATTTCAGGGGGTTTGTAAGCCAAATGAAGGTGGGAAGCATTCCGGCTTACCATTTCCCTCCTATTTCTAATGAGTTTATTTGTAGCACACCCACAGGCCTGTTCCTTGGGGTATATAGTTGGGGAGCTGGGATGTATCCCCTTCCTAGTAGATACCAAAAGAAGTTGTTACATCAGGGTCTGGACCTGAGGCTAGTGTTCCTGAGCCTGACCAAGTGATTTGGCGTCTAGTTCTCCCCCGCCCGCCCAGGAGAAGGGCGGAGATGCTGGAGGAGCCAGCTCTGATTTGCCCATAGGATGGATGCTTCGATCCAGCTCAGAGAGGAAGTTACCATGGCAACACCAGCCGGCTACCAGTCCCTCTCCTAGCAGTTAAGGCCACATCTCTGGGCTGGAAAGCCCTTCATGGCACCTCCCTCTTCCGCTCAGACCAAATCTTTTTGAGGGGAGCATGGTGGGTGGGATCCACAAACTAGTACCACAGCCCTCATCTCCTCCCCCGGTTTTGAACGGAGGGAAATGGAGGTGGTTGCTTGAGTTACTCTGAGGTTGTGAAGCTACCCATTTCCTGCCAGACAGATCTTGGCAGGGGGAATCAGGCTTCCAGTTCCTGCCAGCACCCCCAGGCACCTGGAATGACCACACTGAAATCTCACCCTCCCTCCCAAATTTGCAGGATTTGGCGGAGTTTTCTTTCCCAGGCCAAGTGCTAACTTTTGTCCTTGAAATTTGACCTGAGCTTCATCTGGGAAACAAAATGTCCTGCTGCCCCGGTCCTTCCCCTAGAAATGGTGGGAACAGAGTGAGTCCCTCAGCTCTGGGAGGAGGGGGAGGGGGGACTGGCCTGTGTACATGATTCAGGGAGGCTTCAGTATATCATATCTTCATGGGAGGGGTGAAGGGGTGCCCTAAAGCATGAATCTAGGCTCTGGACCCTCATCTCCCTCTCTCACCCCAGCAGAGGCCACATTCTGTAACCCTTTCCTTTTCTGTCATCTGTTACCCACACCTCCAGTTTACCACCTGGAGCTGTAATCTCCTTGTTTTTTTTTTTTTTTTAAAGAAAAGTAGCCCTAGCTGGCCATGCATTCACTGTGTGGCCCAGGCTTTCCTCAAACATGTGATCCTCCTGCCTCAGCTTCTTGAGCGTTTGGATTACAGCTCTGCCCCACCATAGCCGGCTTCACAATCTCCCACAAATTTGGGAGCTGGACAGAATTCTTCTAGATTTGGAAAGCTGAAGCCTCCATAGTTCAAGTTGAGCAGTAAGGTGAGGGTGTAGTCAAGGCACTTGAGTCA